CCCGCCCCGAGAAGGGGTGCTGGAGGGGGAGATGTTAATATAACGTGTTCCCTTATATCGGGCTTGTTGAGGGGGCTCGTCTCCCGCGCCGTGAGGAGAGCCGGGGGGACTGTGGGGGGATGCCACTTTCAGTAGGGGACGAGGTTGTAAATGCTGAAATCACCCCTGGAAAACGCAAGCGTCTTAAACTTTGACTCCATCTTAGCTTTTAGTATACTGAAAACATGGAGGTATTTAATTTGGCCCTCATCTTATGTTGATGTACGGCAGCAAAAATAGGTAAAGTTCATAGCCCTTCTCCACAAAGCTAGATCTGTTCCAGAAATAGCTGCGATTCCTCGTTTATTTGGCTTGCTTTCTTAAGCGCCGAAATAGGGGGAATGTGGAAAAAAGAGCTCTTAAGATACTGTCGGAAAACAACTCCTGTATTTTTAATTGCCTGTTAGTCCTTAAAGCTGGTTTCAGACTTCAGTGGCTTAGATAGCTGTACAGATTCTGGGTTTGGTCTGTGTGTTTTTAATATAACTTTTGCTTTCCTTGACCAACGCTACTTTTTGCATTTCAGTTCACCGAAATGATGTCTCTTGATATATCTGACAGTGCTCAAATCTATGCTGCGTTTGTGGTGTACCTGGACCTCTTAGAAGGTAATTCAGTGGAGCCACTGGAGAGACCTCAACAAATGTACTTGCCTTTAAGTGCCATTAAAATTTGTGCACTAGCAGGACCTTTCCTACAAAAGTCCCTGGCGTTCTTTTTGAAACTTAATGCAGTGATGGTTACCTGAGAAACAGATGGTATTTTGGTGCTGAAGATTTCTCTCCTGCGCCTACGTGGAACCTTTACGGAGATTAGGACCCATTTTGTCCAGCAGTTACAGGTGCAGATGTTCCAGGGCAAAGGCACTCGGCATGGAAAAAAGCAAAAGAGGGTTAGGGGAAGGAAAAGGGACATAGAAAAGTGAAGTTACAAGTTCAGTGGTTGTGCTGGTAATAGAGTCCTCATTTGTAGATTAGTGACAAACAGTGAGGTTACCATTTAGCAAATGGCTGATGTGTGCTGGCCTGATTAGGGTGCTGTTTTCTGGAAAGGGCAAGGATTCCTATAGGAAAAAAGATAATTTGGAAATCTGGTGGCAATAATTATGACAAATGCAGTGTAGTCATCTGATGTCTTGTAAGAGTGGAGCAGAATTATGTGATATTTAAACTTCTGCCTGCGATTGTCCCAAGTTGGCTTTATTGAAAAGGCACTGTGCGTAGGCAGGCAGCCAGCCTAATAAAAATACTTCAGTTTCTCTTGGAGGCTGGTGGTTCTCAAGGTCAGGGAAGGGAGGGATTTTACAGGCCAGAAAGCACTGTGTCTCTTAGTGTTACATCTCTGAAGAAAATGCCTTAATAGGCTTTGAGAGTAGTTGTTATACAACGAAAACTTTTAGCCTTGTCTCTTCAAGTAGAAAGGAAGAACTGTGTGTCATCAATAATTATGCTTTTAGCACCTGCTCCTTCACAGTTTAGGGTACTGATAAAGTTCAAATTTGGATTACAGATGACAAAGATGGTTTTTTGTCGTCTTTTTGCCTTTTTGAAACAAAGCGTTGTCAGACAGATCCCTATTCACCATCAATCAGCGTAGCTCTGGAGTCAGCAGACTAGTACTGCTCCTATGGGTTTCTTTAACAGTAATACTGTTGTCAGAAGGGGAACTTGACAGTTAAATGGGGTAGTTGTCTCTCATGGGAAATCTGTGAGGAGAGGGAGAGAAAACAGAACCTAAGATGTTAACTTAAATACCAAATTTGATATTTGAATGCTTAAAACTTGTGTTTTGTTCCTTCCCATCGATGATGAACCTTTCTAGGGAGAAACTGGCATGAAGTGAAGCATGTCGGAGTAGCAGAACTGCAACTCGTATGTTTACACGCACGTGAAAAAGAACAGGACAGTCTCCAAGTGATGGTGCCGGTACCTGTGCACATATCGTTAAGCCATGAGAGGTGAGGATGTGGTCAGTGTTTGGCTCACGTTACCAATAAGATCAAATGAAGAATAGATATATTTAACAGGCTGCTGATGACTTGGTCGAGAGGGGAAAGGGAAGGAAGCGAAGGAGTATCAGAGGAAAGCATTATCTCAGCCTGTAAGCAGAGTTATTTTGGGTGCTGCAAACATACACGCAAAGTTGAGATTTCTTTAATTTTCTAAGCTGCATCAGTCTCTGCTTCTCCCTCCCTGAAAGTGGTACGCCTTTGATGTCAGCTTCCACAGGAACCGACTCCTTCTGCTGATAAACGCTTCATATTGTTTAGAAGTTGCCTATGCTCAAGGAAGTAACAATGGATATCAAAGTATGTGTTTGAGAGACAAGGTTAGAATACAAGACCTTCACAGCTTTTATTTGGAACATTCTTGTGCTTTTTTGTAGTCTGGGAAATCTAGCAATACTTTTTGTTTCACTGGGCTTTAAAGTACCTAAGAGGAAAGAAATCCTCTCTAAGACCTGTCTAGGAATAAACTTTTTTTTTAATTGTCGAGTCTGTGGATAAGCCTGGTGTTTTTGGTTTGGTTTGCTTTTTGTTTTGAAAGTATAATTTGGCTACTTTCAATTGGAAATTCCTCTTACTTATCCAGAGTCTAATGAGTAACTGTCCCTTGAGCTGTGATTTTGACTTATTTCCCTTACGTAGTCAAGACTAAGTAATTCTGAAGCGGAGGGCAACACAGCTATGACTTTGTGATATTACAGATATTTACAGCCTAGAGAAATTCCGCTTCAGTAATTTTACGGTATATTTTAACTGGCCCTTAGAGCAGCCTCGAACACACGGTATGATTTACTGTCTGATAATGGCCGCCTTCTCTTGCTGGTGTTTGCCATTCTTTTCTGTGATGTCTCTGAAGACCTGAACTGTTTCAGCTGCATCACATGGTGGTACGTTGTTCAATTTCTTCTGTTCCTACTCTGTGGTAGGAGCGTGTGCTCAGGGCTGGCTTTACAGATCTTGCTAGTGTTTGCTGTTTCCTCTTGCTCTGTGGGTAGCAGCCTGACACAGCAGTAGGTAGCTAATGAATTGCACTTAGCAGACGTGTTTGTGTGCGCTCTAGGAATGATGTTTTAGACATGCTATGGTTTTTGCCTTTTTTTTTTTTTTAGGCTTTAGAAGTGACAGATCAGTCTCTTGCGACCAGAGTTCCATCTTAATTCTGCTATGTGTTTTCCTAAGAGAGAAACAATTCATTTGTGAGGGGGAAGAAAATACCTACTAGATATTGATGGATTTGAGTGATATCTACGTGCTGAAAAAAATCTTCCGTTTGCAAATATTGGTCAGTCACTCTTGTGGGCTTGGTCTTGTAGAGAAATATGGTGTGATCTCCACAACAGAGGAAAGCTGCTGAGAGGTCTTGCAGAATGAAATGCTGAGTGTCGTTCAGCCTCTCTGCAAGAAGCAGATCACTGTATGTGTGTGAGAGGGACACATTGCTATTCACAGTTCAAACTAGATTTTAGGTGGGAAAAGAAGGCAGCAAATTAGGATATGGGATCTTTGAGAAATTACGCCTACGTGCTGAGTTGTGCCTGTTTAATGTAGTAGGTTTCCACCTAGGTTGGAAACTTTGATTCCTGGCATTGGAACAGTGCCAGCAAGTATGTTCTAATTGGCTTTTAATGACAGTGAGATATTGCACTGCATATATGTCCTATCTTTTACTGTTTCATTGGGGCTTTTCATTTGGAGCCTCTGAACTTGTTTGTACTGTGGTGATACTGTTTGCTCTGCTTCTGGCACCAGTGCGGATGGAATCCATTACTGGAAGGATGTGTGTTAGAGAAGCAAAGAGTGAATGCATCACATTGATTAAAAGTACAGTTTGTGACTAGGTTTTGCTACAGAACAACTATATAGAGCGTATTGTCACTAAAATGGGCTGAATACCGGGCTGTAATGCCAGGTGAGTCCATTAAAGCCTGTATGTGCTCGATACCCATAGATGTTGTCAGGCAGGAAGATCGTATATGCTTGTATTTGTGTTACTGAGCGTGCATGTGCATAGGCATGCTTGGCATCTCATTAGTAGATCACCACTGATCAGAGGGGCCTGGTCTGTCTTCGTAGAGAAAGGACAGCATCAACTCCTCGGACAGCATCAACCGCTCCTTTGCTGGAACAGTAGGCAAAAAATGGGGGGTATAGACAATAACTACAGCTCAAAGTTACGTAGCGTAGAGGGAGGCCATTAAAAAGGCATCCTACGGAAGGAGTTGGAAACAGTATTACATTAATAATGACAGTGATGACTATTTTCTTGTTGTGATTCTTGATACCAGGAGACTTGTTAGGTATCTGATGTGTTAAATGATATTTTTTCACTTGACTTACCAAGCTATAGGTAGACAGGAAAGCTTTTGTAATTAGCTACTTTGCCGTTTTATTCAAAGCAATGCTTTGGGTTTTTGTGTTACCTGCTAAAGGTAGAGGAAGAGGTATGAGTACAAGTGAATACAGCTCACTTAATGTTGACAGTAAGCCATTGGAGGGTGTTGGGAAGGTTCTGTTCTCATTGCTGGGCCTGGAAATGTGCTAACTGCAAAAGCAGCTGGTAAATGGCAGCATTTCCTTGCTTCACCAGTAAGGCCTGGGTAGGGGTGGTTTTCGTCTCAAAGCCACTTCAGCCAAGCTCTGCCTTCCCAGGTGTCTCATGAAGATTCCTGCTTGGCTGACACTCAGACGAGTGTGTCCTTGAAAGGCCGTAGTAAACTTGCTGTGGAAATTACCAGCAAGACACCTAAGCAAATGATAAATATAAAAAAAATAATCTGCTCAATGTTTTTTAGCCTATCATAAGATTTCATTGTGTCCAGTTTATGCATGCCAGATCATTGCTTAAGGCAAAAGCTGTTCTGCTTACTAAGCTCACTACAAACAGCTTGATGAAAGCTGATCATCCTTCCCTGCCGGTGTAAGGCTGCACAGTAATTTGCTGAACTGCAAAATAATGGGTTCTGGAGCAAAGTGATCACCAATGCAAACAGTAGTCTCATACAATCTGGGAAGTGGCTTCATGCAGTATATGCGTGCTCTTAAAATGAAGATAGTTGAATCTTCTGTGAGTACAGATCTGGAGAATAAGAGACAACTTCTGTCTGTCTTGGACCACGCTCTTAACCACACACAGCTGGCTAAGGTTTTGAGAACCTTGTGTTTGTACGCCTTTGAATTTAGCAGTGATTGATGCTTGCAGGAGGAATTCGTAGGTCCATTGGCTGGGACGTGTTTGCTGTTCACTGCTGCAGACGACATCCTGGTGCACAGCGAGTACCTAACTGCCAGTACATTCCAGCATTGTGGCTCCCCAAAGGGGATGAAGCAGTTAAATACAGGTAGTCCTGCTTCAAAGCTGGCAGAAGTGACTTGCGTAAACCAAGCTCAGCAAGTGTAGGAGAGCTCACAGTGTTGACAGCTGGATTTTCTAGATAGCGTTGAAAGCCTTGATCCTTCCAAGGGCCAGGGAGTAAGATGCTGGATCTAATGGAATTACGCGCTGTCTGTCCTAGACAAATAACATTGTCTAAGCAAAATGTTAGTAATAAACCATCAGATTAAATGATATGTCACTGCCCTGTTTGTTTTTTGTATGCAAGTGTTGGAAATGAAAAATGACGTCAGTTGCGTGAGGTTATAGAGACTGCAAAGTTAGTTTTAGGCTAAGAGGGAAAGGGTTATTTTGTTAAAATGGTAATTTTGGAAAACAAATACATGTATGTTTCATTTTAAAGCAGAGAGGCGTCTTCAGAAGCAAATCTGAGGACTGGAAGCGGTTTATCCTCCTCTAAATCTGTAGTTTGTGCAATAGATCTTCCTCTAATCTGAAATGGTTTTGTTTGTAAGAAGCGCTGTTATTTTAAAGGCACTGGAAGTGTGACATGCTCCTTATCTTGCATCCTCGTTACAGTTTTGTCAGTAGCTCTTCTGCTATAAGCATTATTTGAGCTTACTCATACAGTAAATCACACATTGAAAATGTAATTAATGGCTTCTAAATGCAAACTCTTTATTAATAGCTTAAAAGTGATTGATGTGGCTCATACAACTGAGTTGGTTATGCAGTACTATGATTGAACGTCCTATAGTGGTGTATCTTGTAGAAAGTTGCTGAATTCTGATTCCTCCCTTTTGCATGATTTGTCTTGTTTCCTTTTTCAACTTGCATGGAAAAAAGGACTTTATATTCCTTGGGGTTTCAATTCCTTTTCCTGACCAGTGAGGCACGTGGTGTTTGCTTTAGTTTTATTCTTTTTTTTTTCCCATTACAAAAACATTACTTTCTTCATGGCATCCCATGTTCCTGTAGTTTGGAAACAAACCCCAAGAAATAGTGGTGTCCGTTTACCTCCCACCACCACCATGTGGCTTCTTCCCGTATATTTCAAGGCACTAAGTTAATCTAGCTGCAGGGCAGGCAGCAATGTCTGGAGCAGCGTTCCTGATGGTGAGCCACGCTCACTTTGTGCTGTTTTTGTAGCGCTGGCTGAATTCAAGGTATTGTGCTTTACGGGAGGTTTCCTCTGCCTTGGTTCTCTTGTCACGGGGCCTAGCTGGACAAGGCTGGTACAATGGCGCACTCCGATGCACAGCGTCATGATCTCTGTAGTGGTACAGAGGCCAACTTGTGTTGACTCTCCAGCCCTGCCTTGCATGGAGGGGAGGGAGCTGTTCGGGCTGGCCAAGCCTGCAATGAATTATTCATCCAAGTATAAAGGGCAGATTGAAAGCCTTTGGCTTTTATGGCATGGAAGGCAGTAGTTCCATTTCAGCTCAATGGAGCACTATGCAACCTCCATAAAACTACTCTGAGCTTTCAGTGTTACCGCTGCTTCTCAGAGGTGCTTGCATGGCATATATCATTGAAATACTCTTTTGTTTGTCACAAAACTTCCTGCCCATGTTTTCTTTCCTTTACGATTCTATTCTTTTTTAGGTTTTGGACAGTCAGT